TCACCATGACAAGTTAATATTTGTTATATTGTATATATGTGAGTTTATGTTGTTTCTGAAGAAGGCTAAAAAATGAGCCGAAACATGTAAACGCGTTTAGTAAAATAAAGAAGTTTTACGCTTTTTATAGTCGTATTATTTATGCAACGTCTTCCGCGCTTGACTCCTATTGCCCATGTTCTTTTGATATCACAAATTCTTCAGACGTGACATTTTCCAACAATTCAATGTAATTTTAAATGCAACAATTTTTTAAAAATTTATTTTTTAAAGATTCAATCTTATACAATAATCTTATTATAAAAGAATGGATTTGAGATAAAATTGTTTTTAATTTTTATTCAAGGAAGAAATTAAATGTCAAAGAAATAATAACAGGGTTAATATGTGTATATATATACAATATATATCTTAAAAATTATATATTTACAAAATCTAAATACACACACATGTAAAAAATTATACAAATTTTATTTAAGACATCTTTTCATATATCTTATTGTTCCGACAATTATTTTCGCATATGAGCATGGATAGCGTATATACGGAAGCGTTAATAATTAATTCTCGAAAATGATATATCGTATTATAACTTTATTACACATGGTTGAATTTGTAAAAAAATAATCTTTAATTTGGTATATAAAAAAATTAAAAATTAAAGAAAATTACGGGTGGTGGGGGTATTTTGTTAAACAAAAAAATTTTTTTTCTTTATAACTTTAAAGTACTCTTGAAATCGTACAACTCTTATTAAAAAAATTTTTTCTATCTTTTATACTTCCGACGATATTCGCTCGAAAGAAAAATTCTGTTTTTTTTTCGAAGGAGTATTTACCCCTTAAACATCAGTTAGCGCATGTATAAAAAAATACGTGTCTCTCTCTCTTAGATTTTCGCGTTTTACAATATATTTCATGGAGAATCAAATCGGTTCCGGACAGTTATGAAACTTCCCTTGCAAGTTTACGAAAATGTCTTCATTATTTAGTCAGTCGGGTCAATTTAAAATATTAGCTGCGTTCATCAGAAAAAAACAGGTTTGCTTGCAACTGTTATAAGGATTTTTAATATGATTGGTTCTTGCCTTTAATTTCTCATGGATTTAAATGTATAACGAAATATATTGAAAAATTTTACAACAGTTGCAAAGTGCTTTCTTTGCTAAACGTAGCCATTGAAGATCTGTCTTTCAATATATAATATTATATAAAGGTACGAAACGTGTCAGTAAAGTAGAATAAAATTATCGTATTAAACACAAGTTGCGTACACAAGAAATGTATATGTAAAATATGAGTTATAAAATATAACTAATTGAATCGGTAAAGAATATCGCTGTCTTATATAGGAATGCTATATATAAATACATACAAAACACACACACACACACACACACACACACACACACACACACACACACACACACACACACACACACACACACACGTGCGCACTCACGCACCCCCTCCACGCGCGCGCGCGTGTATGCATATACTCGTATATGAATACTTTTTTATAATTATGCAAATCAGAACATTATGCAAAACAGAATGTATTAATTTTGAGCTAGTCTCGACACCAATGATCATCTCTTGAACAACTAATATGTATTCTTCCTATGCATTTTAAATCGTCACTTTTGCAATAAAATACGCTAAAAATATCAATGATGCGAAGCCCGCATATACATATGTATTGTATTTTTGAGAATAGAAATATCTGCTTTTGCGTGTCATGATTGCCAGGTTTCCTTCTGCATCGAAATAGTTCGTCATAACTCATATCTTTGATGACTCATCTCCTCTTTTTTTTTTATTTGTCGTATATCCCCGTTGATCCGACAAAGACCGATCAACGAAGAAACGAAAGGGATGCTATAGTTATCGGAAGTTTATGTGGTATCTAGATGATAGCACACACGGAAACGATATATCTACAGGTCAGATTTTTCTTGGTAGTCAACAGCATACGTCTGTATTTAGTAGTATAAATAGTAATTCAACGCGTTCACCGTTTAGTATAAGAAGAAGTATCTGGTACGATATGATCGTGCGGATAGACAGTTAATCTGAGCATTTCTAAATATCTTCTTCAAGAATATTAGCGACTCGCATCGTGTTCTGTCTCTTTTTGTTATAAAATGCTACAATAATCGACAAAGAAAAGAATATTTCTCTGTGTCGGCGAAGGAACAACATCGGCAGGTAATTTGGCAAGTGATCTGAGAGAGAGAAAAATCCGGATTATTTCTTTTGCTGTATATCGAGCGCAAAAAAAGTGAACAAAACAGCTTCGAATACCTAATATATCATTTATATCTTTCAGAATATCTAATATATCATTATATCTTACGAGAAATACAATACTACATAATATACGAATAATTTATCGAAGGGATTAAATAACACAACGATATTAAATTTTAGGGAGGGAGGAGAGAGAAATATGAGACGCATTAAGCGAGACCATGAAACGCAAAGAATCTTGTTATCGTTAGAAGTGATGAGGCTATCTATACTGCATCACGTATGATGAATCTCAAGTTACATCAAGTTGCAAATTCATTTGCGATGCGTCATGTAAAACGCAAAATTATTGTGAGAAAACGTTCGCGAGCAAAAATTTAAAAGTTAGTTTAATGAAATTTGCAATGCAAACTTTCGCATAATATAGATGCATAAAATTTTATTGGAAAAAATGAAAGATATGTTATATGCTTCCCTACGTGCAATTTATACATACGAAAAAGGATATATCTAAGAACGCTTATTTTCCTTGGAAAAATTCGAAAAAGTTCGAGAAAAAAATGCAAATACTGATAAATAAAGTAAAGGAATTTTGTGAAAGAAAGAAAAGAAAAAATGGAAAAATAAATATAGCATTCAACATTCCTCGGACGATTCCATTCTCAAAACGACAATAAAATTTCTCGAAAAAAAGGACATTGTTAGATATAACTTACCTCTTCTCAGGTATAAAAATCCCTAGCTATAAAACCTTCAGGTAGAAAATTTACCCTCTCTCCAATTTTCACAATCAGAATTCTATTCTTGTCGCATATTATCCTTGTAATTTACTGAAAGATAACTTATTGTTAGAAGATATTCGACAAACGATCAGTGAGAAATAAATTAAGCGTCGAGAGATACATGACACTCTGTCTGGATATCTACCTACAATAATAATTGAAAGTAGAAGAGAGGGACAGTCGCGATAAACAGAGGACGATCGCGCCAGCGTATCTCGCCGTCTCCTTAGCGCGGTCTTTCATCGGTTACCATTGGCCAATCGTCGAACTGATTAGGCACGTACGGACTCGCTAGCTCTTTTCCTGATATAACTCAGTTCCTTCGGACTGTGTGTGTGTATACCACTGTGATCGAGAGAGTAAGGATTATTACGCTTGCTCTGTGATTACCGAGAGCTTGAGTGGGGAGAAATTTGCCTATCCAAAAGAGAATTATCAGTGACAAATTATTTTAGCCGTGCGGGTAATGGCTGAATGCAAGGAGCAGGCTACTTATATGTTTAACAACTTCGAGTTGAAGAGATGGCTTCACGGAGACGAAAATCGTCGTCGTACGCTGCTGGTCAAGGTGCGAATTTTTGTTTATTGCCGATTTTACGTAGTAAATCTAACGAGACTATAAGACGTGTATTAATCTAACCTATATTATAAAATGTTGACATTGTCGATAAACAACTTTAATACAATTTGTACACTTTACAGTCTCTCCATCAGCATTGTGCGTTTTTTTTTTGTTGTGAATTCATTATTCTCTCAGCTTCAGCTTGTATAGAAAGTGATATTGTAAAAATTTATTCTACTTGATGGTAGACAATTTGATGCAACCTCAAATATGTATGGAATATGCTGAAATCTGACAGGAAAATAATTATTTCAGCTAAAGGATGATCTGCGGAAGCTGGGATTATCGAGGCGGGCGACACGAGCAGGACTCGTGCAACTTGCGATGAAGCCATGCGTGATTCTAAAACGATTGTCAGGTCCCCGTTGCAGGTAAGTTTCTGTTCGGTTTTCTATAAAGCCGCGGGCTATACGTTTAATAATGAACACAGCGAATACAAATAATGGACATTTATGTTTCTGTTTGTAAGCTTATTGCTTTTTTTTATTGCACCGAGCGTTCGATCAGATTCAGTATTCGCTGCAATAAAGTGTTTAACTCGTGCTATTTGTTGAAGCAATAACGAACTTTCGCGTTCGGTGTTCGTTCGTAAATGTATACCCGATTTAACATAAATGTTGTATCAGTATGGACTGTAAATCGTATTTGTAGTTACGCTTCATTCGCAATTTATGACGTGTTAGTTTTGCATAAAATGAGAAAGGAATTGTTTCTGCTGCGAAATATGTGGTAATTTCGATTTTTTTTTACACGAGACGCCAATAATAACAAGATGCAGCAACTGCTAATTATTAGGAGTTAATTATTGCGAATTAATTTAATTTTAATTTGAAAATATTTTGTGACCGAAATATTTTACGTTTTTCAAATTAGAGTACAAATAAGTGAAACCATATCCCTCGAATTCTTTTGCATTTCCCTATTACATTTAATACAATTTATACACTTTATAGTCTTTCCATCAGCATTGTGCGTTTTTTTTAATTGTGAATTCATTATTCTCTCAGTTTTAGCTTGTATAGAGAATAATATTGTAAAAATTTATTCTACTTGGCGGTAGACAATTTGATGCAACTTCAAACGTGGAATATGCTGAAATATCTGACAGCAAATTTATAGTAGAATTTTCACAATTATTTTTCTCGAAATTTTTTTTTAATTTTGTTAATATTTTTTTGTTTAATATTTATATTTTATATATGTGTGTGTATATATTATTATATGTTTTTAGAAATACAAATTTTTTTTCTTTACATAAAACTAAATGTTAAAGATATAATTTTTATAAAATACGAGAGACAAAATACACTTTATGCTGTAAATATTTATATCTTATGTTTTATAAAAATGATAGACTTAAAAAAGATATATATCATTTTTTAATTAAGATTTATTTCGAGAAAAATTAATGGAAAAATGTGAGTCAGTGGTTTCAGTACATAGAAAGTATTCTCTACAGCATACAAGCTTTGGTATTATCTTGCTTAAAAAAAAAATACTTCAACATTTTTTGCATATACATGTATGTTCTATTTTTTTTCACATTTAATTTATTGTAAGTAAAATTTTCGAATTTTTTCTCGAAACGTGTAGAGGTTAAAGATATATACATACTTTCAAGTAGGAAGAGGTTCTTAGTGTATGTGATGAAAGAATTCACTCTCACCACTGTAACTTTTTGCTTCGCTTTTGGGTTTCTTTGCCCTCCTTTGTGTTTATGTGAGTCCCAGTTCCCAGTGCGACCATGACGGTCTCAAGTGGTTCCAAGGGTTGAAGAAATATCGACAGTTTGGACGAAACTGTTGTGTCGATTAGACGTCCGCTACTTCTTCACTGTTGGTGTCGTAGGATCAGCGAGTAAATTAATGTTTTTACATGACGATATTATTTATATTCGAAGTTGGTGCGATTGATAACGGAAAGATATTTTTAATAATAACTGGTGTGAAATACTTTTAATAATAATTGGTGTGAAATACGGAATATTTCTAAATACGGATAATTGTTTAGCGTTGTTAGTTTGTCTAATAGCACATTATCATTCATTCATTATTATCCGGAGGGTAACCATTGAGTCTGCATATAATAATTAAAGGTATCTACATTAATAAATTAGATCTGTATTCAGAATGCGCTTTTACGATGTTAGTGTATATTTGGTACATAGTTTACGTTACTATACAATTTCATACATAAGCACGTACTTATCGATAAAATTCGCGTTCTGAATGATGGGCCGTACAGTTTAAGATAAATAAAGATATAATCTTAGCGATATAATCTTAGTACATGTTTACATAGAGTATTTAGTTAGAATTTACTTTCTATTTCACGGAAAAAATGCTTTTGTTAAAGTATCTAAAAAATTTAGCTACATATCGATCTGAAAATAATTTTATTGTATTATCAATAAAATAATTATGTAGGACGTTCAAGCTCGTTGTTAGAACGTCTAAATTTCTTGCAGAGAGAGAGAGAGCGTCACTCATTATACTTGAGTTTTCTACATATTATTTTAAAGGTTCAACAAAATTATTTTCAGATCTGTATTTAGCAAAATTTTTAGATGTTTCAGCAAAACATTCTTCCGTGTGTTGCCATGTTACAATATTCAAATTAAGGAAATGAGAAGGATCTTCGGATAATTTTTTTCTCGAATAAGTCGATATTATTATTGTCATCTGCAACAGAGAATACAAAGATATACCCTTCTTTCGGGATAATTTAAAAAATGTACGCAATTACAAAAATGTTACACTAAAATTTTATTTGTTTTGCATTTTTTAACTTTGATTATTATCTAAAATAAAGCGTTAATGCAATTTTAACTACGCGTTACCTAACAAAAACATTTCATATAAGTACATAAATAAATATGTATAAACATATATAAATATATATGTGTGTATGTATATATGTATATATGTATAATGATTATACGCTGTTAAATTATGGTGTCAAATTTAACTAATAAATATAATAATATTGGCTCTTTGAAGTCAATAATAATAAATGATAAGGAGCATATAGGCTAAACCGCAGGATGTTATTGCAAAATATCTATTATTCATTTAAACTACATGTAGAATAATTAATATGGGATTCACTTTGTAATTTGACACACACAGGACAATGAAAATGACATGTATTCAACGCAACTAACTGAATTTTTAAAGAAGATTTGACAATTTGTCCAAGAAGTTAAGCGGAATTGTAATTGCCTAATCAACTTTTGTAAATTATAAAATAAAGTTCTATTTAAAAAATTTTTGTACTGAAGATGACGACTGGATAACAGTCGAAACGTCTACATGTAGTTTAAATGAATAATAGATATATTTTGCAATAACATTCTGCGATCTATATGCTTCAAATTTAACTATCATTTTTTTTATAAACTAACGATTTATTTAGTAGGATCAGTAGCGACTTAAATTAAGTTAAATTTGACATTCTTCTTTATAGATTTAACAGTGCTATATAATTATACGGTGTCTAGTAAGTTTTGACAAAGAGTGCGGATAGAGAAGATTAAACTGGCAATGAGTTGAAAGTAGATCAAACTGATAATGAGTGCTGTATCATTTTGCAATTTTTGTAAATTACGAGAAATTAATCACTACAGATTGCCGAATGAGCGCATATTCGCCCGACCTACCGCTAAATGCAAGCGCGCGGCGTGATATGACCACCTAGTATGGAGAATTGTTTTCTTTCACTGTTCATACATAATTATTGTCGTCTGTAATAAATGTAAACAATTTCCCATGCGTTTAGTAGTCATGACCTATGGACGTATGTACATACATTCAACGGGAACCCGGACGTATACACGTTCATTCGGCGATCTTTAGAATTAATTTGTCGTAAATTATTGTGAAAATTACAAAATGATATAGGACATTTAAATTCATTCTACCTGCACACGAACGCATATCAAAACTAGCTATCCAGTATATATTTGTTTTTATATGAAAAATTTTTTAAGTAGTAATGGAAAATGCATTGGAACGTAATGAATGCATTTAAGAATGGATACATTTAAGGATGCCCTGTACATAGCACGTAGCACGTGTTGTATAATAAATGATTATCAATAACGATTATGCGTGCCTCTTTATGGAGACTGATATGTTGCAAACTCAATTGATGGATTGGTAGATTTTGATTTCTTAAGCGCATTTCGCAAACCTCACGATTCCATATTATGTAAAAATAAAGCATAACAAATTCGATGAATTGGAAATAAGTTTTTTTACATAGATTTTGTTATCAACAGTAAATCAGGATTGTTAGCGGTCAGGGAAATCAGGGAAAAGTCAGAGAAATTATTATCAAGGAATTTATTAACCTAAAATAAAATTAAATTACTGTAAAATTCGAAGTTTAAACTTTACTTCTTTAGAAATTATAAAATAGAATTTTTTTAATTTTTTAAAGAAGCAATGCAAATATTTTTTATTTTTAATTTTGCAATGAGCAATTTGCAGAAAAAAATTAACAGACATTGTGTTAGAGAAAAAAACTTAACTTTATAAATTCAAAATATGTATTAATGATGAACATTTCGTAAATCATTTTTAATTAAAGTCAATTAAAGTGATAATTAGAACATACAGTGTTTTAATAAAATGATTAATGCCTGTATTACTCAGATCTTATATTTAAGGCCCGACTAATACAGGCATTAATCAGGCCTTATATTTAGGTCTTTCTTAAATTTATCTTTCTTAGATGCTCTACGAATTATTTTATTGACTACTGAGCATTTAAAGATAAATTTAAAGAAGCCTTGAATATAAGACTATGAATATGGTCAAATCTGACTGAATATGGACAAAAATCTCAATAAGCAATATGCAAAACAAAGATACATGTATAGCCGCCGTTTCCTGTAATTCATTTGTTTTTTTAACTCATGATATACCGATAGTCGTATGTTCCACTTAACGTTTGCAACACACTCACTGCAAGTCATATCGTATTATTATTTATTTTTGCAACTTGTTCTTTAAGGTAAATAATTCTTTGAATATAAATATTTTTTATTGTACTGTTTATAAAATAAAAAATTTTAAACAATAATAAACGATTTATTAAGACCGTATATGTGAATACATAACAAGTAAGAGTTTAATGCCTATTACGGTCGAAGCTGGATCTTAGATGCTTTTTAAATAATTTCTATGTGAATTTATATACTAAATATGTAATCATTTGAACTGCGCGTCGAAATGATTTTTCGGACTTCTGAACGCAATTAAACTACTATAGTAATATCACAAATTGAATTGATAAGTAATTTAATAATTTGATGCTTAATCTTGCATCCTATTAGAAAGATGTTAATGTACTGAAAAACTGTATTGCT